TGCAGGCAGAATAAACAATCCGATCTTGTCTGTCTACCAACGTGCACGTACCCTCTTGGAGTCTAATGGGGGCCAGCACCTTCCTGGCCTGCCCCAAATTCCTAGGACGGGGCCCACGTGTTCACCGCCCCGCCACAACCCCACGGTGCCTGCCGGAAGAAGCGTGTGCGTGTACGGGGACAGGGCACGCGGTCATGCCCGTGGGCAGGGGTGCGGCATCCGTGTGTGTGAGCGAGTGCATGTAAGGGGTGGTGGTGAGGGCCTGGCTCGTGCAGCTGGGAGCATATGCTGCTGAGCGTGTTGGCAGGATGGAGTGTCCTTGGCACTAGCCCAGGCCGAGGAGGCGGCAGCCGGAAGGTTCCGGATCGGCACTGTGGTTTGCAGGGCACGGGGATGTCCAGGAAAACCTCCCTGCCAGGTCGGAGGGGCGACTCCGCACTCCCCCCGACGATGCCGTCTCGAGCCCAGTGCCTGGGCCAGGAGGGGGCCACCGGGGCAAGCTCATTTCTGTCTGCAGAGGAGCCCCTGACCCCCCCAGGGCCACCCTGTGCCCACCAGGCCAGTGACAGGCCTGTAGAGGCGGCCTCTTGGCTGCTCACGAGCCCACGCAGAGACCGCAATCAAAGCCGCCTTTGGTTGGCATGGCCCATCCCCTGAAGGCCTCAAGCCACGCAGGCAGATCTGGACTTGTTCAACATTGCAGCCGTCTGCCGACCACAACCACACACGACACAGCGTCCCCCTTCCTTGGGGCTCACCTCCCCTTGCAGAAGGGGCCTTGACATAGACCTCACCGGCGGGAGAGACCTCGGGGGGAACCTTTTGCCTCTAACCTCCCGAGCCTGGTGTTCTTTATTCCCGAGACGAAAGTCACATCATGTGAAATTAACCGTCTTAGAGAGCACGGTCCTGTGGGGCATTTCGTACGGTGACCACACTGTTCAACCACTACCCTCTACCTTGTTCCAAAACATCTGTATCCCCCTGTTATGCACTGTTTGTGGACCCCCCCCCCGCCCCCAAATTCGTATGTTGAGGCCCTAAGCTCCCTATCCACAGCGGGGCTGTTATTTGTAGATGGGGCCTCTAAGGAAGTAATTAAGGTTACGGGAGGTCGTAAGGGGTCGGGCCCTGGCCCAGTTGGGTTCCTGTCCTTGTAGGAAGAGTCACCAGAGAGCCTCAACACCCAGAAAAGGCCGTACTTAGAACTCTAGAGGAGAGGTCTCACCAAAGCTGCTGTCACCCTGATCTTGGACTTGCCAGCCTCCAGAACCACAGTAAATTAAATTTCTATTGTTTAAGCCGCCAGGTCTCTGGTATTCTGGGAGAGCAGTCCAAGCAAATGAATGCACACCCCCAAAAGAAACCCTGTACCTGGGGGGCCTGGGGGGGCTCAATTGGTTAACCATCCGACTTTGGCTCAGGTCATGATCTCACGGTCCGTGAGTTCGAGCCCCGCGTCGGGCTCTGTGCTGATGGCTCAGAGCCTGGAGCCTGCTTCCAATTCTGTGTCACCCTCTCTGCCTGCCCCTCCCCCAATCGCATTCTCTGTCTCTCAAAAGTAGACATTTAAAACAATTAAAAAAAAAAAACAAAAAACAAAAAACCCAAACCCGTACCCATTAAACACTCCCTGGCAACCAGCCACGTTCCTTCTGTCTCTGTGGATGTCCCTATTCTGGACATTTCACATAAACAGAATCCTACAACATGCAACCTTTTTGTCCAGCTTCTTCCACTGAGGATAATGTTTTTCAGGTTCATCCACGAGGCAGCACACAGATCAGGACTTGATCCCTTCCTGTGGCTAAATAACATTCCATCACTTATCCATATATGCAATGGGGATGTACCCAATGTGCTAATCCGTCCACGTACAGATCCGTCCATATGTACGGACACGCACATATACACAGATTCATCTGAGTATCTGTTTCCAGTTCTATTGGGTATAAACCCGTGAGTGCAACTGCCGGGTCATGGGGCCATTCTGTTCAGTATTTTGAGGCGCTAACAGTTTTCCATGGCGGCTGCACCGTTTCACGTTCCCACCCGCGGGCTGAAACTCTTTGTTAAGGGACACGCAGAGTAGACTACTCTCTTCCTTCAGGAGGGACGCTTCTGGGGCCTGGAGGGTGTGGGTGAGCCTCCCCCAGCCCAGACCCCGCCCAAGGAGGGCAGGACTGTCAAAACTGGAGAGGGAGGGGAGCCGGCCAGAGAGAACTCTAACCAAGGGGCCGGGTACAGAATCGTCTCCCCCACCCCCTTGTTTCTTCTCAGCCTGTCCTCAGAGATGGGATTCGATTCGGGGGCAAGGGGGTGCTGATATACTCCAGCATCTGGTGGGAGGCCCTCGGTTACGGGGGAGTGTGGAAGGGCCCATCCTAAGTATGGATGTGCACATCAGAGGTCGCGGGTGCCCGGCCCGAGGCAGGCCTGGCAGACTTCCCCATTTAGGGGAGGCCACGGCAGCGATCAGCGATGCAAAGAGGAATCCACCCCCCCACTTCCTGCCCCGTCCCTCCCCACTCACCCTTCCTCCTGTGCAGCCAAGGAGTTCTGAGAGAGCTTAGCTAAGTTCTTCGCATACTCCTCTTCAATCTTTATCCTGCAAAACGGAGAAAACCCAACCTGTCAGCTCCCCGGTGCGAGATTGCGGGTCTGACCCGCTGACCGGCCGCTTGTAAACTCTGTAAAGGAACCCGCTAGACCAGACGCTCTGACAGTTCGGGGCTCTTGTCCCTCCGCTGACACACGGCAGGGGTTCCCCAACTATCTGCTGAAGGAACGAACTTCTCTGAACCTCTGTCTCTTCTTCTGTGAAATGGGATGTTCCCAGCTGTCTGCTGGGCTGTCGTTCACACAGCTCCCAACCCGGGGCTGGGCACTTGGGAGGCCTTCAGATGGGTGAATGTAACTTGTGATGCCCACAGGCATGCCCGGTGGTCCTCACCTCCCCCGTCCAGCCCCCAGTGCCTCTAACTGTCAAGCTGCAGGGCACAGGGATTTCCATGGAAACCAGGCAGTGCCCAGAGCATGTGGCTGATTCCAGTTCCCTAGAGAGGGAAGTTGCCTTGGTTTTTGCTTTCAGCAGGGCGGGCCCTTGACACACTTTCAAGGCAACTCTCTGGGGAGTGTTCCGTATTATCCGGCACATGGTGTTAAAGTGTCGTCAAAGGCACTGTTCACCTCCTGAGTGGTCCTCTGGGCCGTGTGGGGACAGGGGCCACCACTCAGGAGCCCCGGGCCCGTCGCTGGGCAAACAGGAAGGCCCCGGAGATGCTCTGAGGGGCTGGGGCACTCGTCCCCAGCGGCTTCGAAGCTGATGGCCCAAGGGTGTGGCGATGTGGAAACGGGGGGCCTGACTGAGCCCCGTGGCATCATTCTGAGCAAGAATCCTTTTCTGCCTTGGCCTGAGAGACCCACAGCCATGTTCCTCCTCTCCGGGCTCTGCTCTCACCTCCACCTCCGGCCGCCTCCGGGGGCCGGCTGGAGTCTATCTCCTGGTTCGTCACTTCCTGGCCTTCGCTCTGCCCTCCCCAGGGTGACCCGGGGCGGGGGGGCCAGTCTGCAGCCCCCAGCCGGCGGTCAACACACCTCTCTAGAAAGCAGATCTGACCATGGCACACTCCTAGCTTCACGTCTCCAAAGATTCCTCGAGGTCAATGGCACACACCAGGCAGGGGTCCCGGCTCCACCCGCCCATCCACCCCAGGCCGCGGCCACGGCAAACCACCTGGCCCAGCACGCTCTACCCGGGCACCTGCACTCTCGCTTGTCTCCCTAGCAGACCCCGGCGGGCCGAGAAAAGTCTGCACTCCCCGCGGAAGACCGGAGTGTTCTCAAAGGGCAGATCCCGCGTATCTGCCAACACAGTGGTGGTGTTGTTTTTTAATTTTCTTTTTAACGTTTATTCATTTTTTGAGAGACAGAGAGAGAGACAGAGCATGAGCGGGGGAGGGGAAGAGAGAGAGAGGGAGACACAGAATCCGAGGCAGGCTCCAGGCTCCGAGCTGTCAGCCCAGAGCCCGACGTGGGGCTCGAACTCACAGACCATGAGATCGTGACCTGAGCCAAAGTCAGGTGCTTTGCCACCTGAGTCACCAGGTGCCCGGCCTTTTCCTGTATTTTATACCATTGTTTCTTCGCACCTGAGCTATGAGCTCTGCTCATTCCCTAGCAGCTTCATGGGTCATAAAACAAAGATTTGAGGGGCGCCTGGGTGGCTCAGTCGGTTACGTATCCGACTTCAGCTCAGGTCACGATCTCGCGGTCCGTGTCCGTGAGTTCAAGCCCCGCGTCAGGCTCTGTGTTGACAGCTCGGAGCCTGGAGCCTGCTTCGGATTCTGTGTCTCCCTCTCTCTCTCTGCCCCTCCCCTGCTCATGCTCTGTCTCTCTCTGTCTCAAAATAAATAAATAAATAAATAAAAACAAAAACAAAAAACCCCAAAGATTTGATGAAACAAATCGAAAGCATACCTCGGAAGGAAAAGAGGTGTTTTAAAATGCCCAAGAATGATTATTAAATGATTATTATAATTAAGACAGATTTTTAAAAATACATTGCTATTTATTGTAAGTATTTCCAGCATGCCCTGGAAAGTCCAGATGGAAACTCGTGTGCATGTGAGTGGGTGCTCAGACCTTGGAGGAACTGAAAAGGCAGGAGGTGGAGAAGGAGCTTCTTATAATCTGTCCTGGCTGAATTTATCATTTCCTCGTTTCCGTTCACACAAACCATCCTTCAGCAAAACCACTATTATAATCCCTACACCTGTCATAACGACCCCACCTGACTCTTTCGTCGGACTGAGCCCCCGCCCCGCCGAAAGGGATGGGGGAACAGGTTCTACCTGCCCAGGTCTGGGACACAGCTTTGGTTCAAGGATGAAATAACAAGGTAACATTCTCCTTTCTCGTTATGATAGGGACAGAGCGTCAAATGAGGGCCACGCAGGTCAGTACAGGGGCCCAGCGGTCTATGTGCAGATGCCCCGGGGAAGGAAGATTCCAGCAGACCAGACCTTTCTGCCTTCTCCAGACAAGCCAGAGAGCCAGCTTGTAACGTAAACTCTACCAATTCAAAAACAAAAACGAAAAACGTTTACAGTCCAAACCTTAAAAACCCCACACGGGCCAAAGCCATGCGAGCTACAGTTGTCCCAAGAGCCGCAGTGGGGGCCTCTGGCTCCCCTTGGTGCTGACCGCGCCCGGTGCTGGGCGGGCAGGACGCATCCCAGCTGCTAGCCACCGACCTGGGGCTCAGGGGCCGAGGTGGCGCTGGGACTGGCCCCGGGAGCTGGGAGGGGCCCGGGTCTCACCTCTCCCGGATGAATTCTGACATTTCCTTCTGCATCTGTTTGCCCTTTAGTTGTTTCTGAAGGAGCAATTCAAACCCAGCCATGGTGCCGTTGCCTTGGGGGTCCTTCTTATCAGCCTAAAAAGGATACAGAAGCACGAGAGAGCTTAGGTGACAAGGGTGTCCCGGGTGCAGGGAAGGGAGCCCCGGAAGGGACCGGGTGTGCATGGCAAGCAGACCTTAGCCCAAGAAACTTCTCGGGCCCTGGCCGGCACCATACCTAAACCCGTGTCCTCCGCTGTTACAGCCTTTCCCCACCAGGAATCCAGACGTCAGTGCTTTGGTACTTCATGGAAGGAGCGAAAAACACATCCTTTGATATCAGACAGGTGCATCGATGAGGACCGTGTCCCAAGTTCCTAAAGACCTGGTCCTTGTCTCAGCTCAGCCACCGGGTGACACGGCCAGGCCTTTCCAATCCGGGGCTCTGTCCCCCCCCAACCCACACCCCTAACTTTGCAATAGGACTGGGCTGCATCTCTAAGATCCCTTCCAGAGCAGACTTTTTTTTTCTTTTTTAAACGTTTATTTTATTTTTTTTTAAATATGAAATGTATCGTCAAATTGGTTTCCATACAACGCCCAGTCCAGAGCAGACGTTTTAGGGGAAGGGAATTTCAGAAAGGGGTGGGTGACGCCTGGAGAGACCCCACCTCCCATCGTCAAGCGTTCGAAAAGTTTACGGACGCCCCCTCCCCTAGAACTCTCTCCCAATGCGGGATTCTCCCACCCTCAAATGAAGCGTTCTGGGCCACACTGCTAATACCTCTTGTGACAGGGAGATCACTACCACACAAAATGCACCACATCACAGCAGGGTGGCTCTGGCCATTTAAAAGCTTCTCCAGGGGCGCCTGGGTGGCGCAGTCGGTTAAGCGTCCGACTTCAGCCAGGTCACGATCTCGCGGTCCGGGAGTTCGAGCCCCGCGTCGGGCTCTGGGCTGATGGCTCGGAGCCTGGAGCCTGTTTCCGATTCTGTGTCTCCCTCTCTCTCTGCCCCTCCCCCGTTCATGCTCTGTCTCTCTCTGTCCCAAAAATAAGTAAACGTTGAAAAAAAAAATTAAAAAAAAAAATAAAAGCTTCTCCAGGTCCGTCAGGTTTGTTTCTTTGCTTTTTTTCACGTTT